GTGTTGGGCACGTTACTTTGAAAAAGTAATTAGTTATAGTTACTAGTTACTTCTCCCAAAAAGTAACTGAGTTACTAACGGAGTTACTCCACTATAAAAGTAACTAGTTACCAGTAAAAGTAACTATTGCGTTACTTTTTCGTTTTGTTCTGGAACATAATGTGCACCCGACGTGCGCATTTTTACCTTTAACAGTGCCAATATTTCCATCTAGAAAAGGCTGTTTTGCTGCTGACGCCCTGTTCACTCTTCATCTGTCTCTGTGTAAGCACTAAACACCAACACCCGCCACTGTGAATGTGGAAACACCGGTGACGAGCGGTGAGGCTGGTGAAGCACTGACTTCAGTCCAATCAGATGAACATATACATCATATAAATCAAGTGGACAATTTGTTTGGCTACAGCAAAATATGTTTTATGCCCGCATTGTTTGTTCATACAAAACGCAAAACTATGAGTTATGGGTCTTACCTTATAAATGGCCTGCACAGTCCACTTCGGTTCAGACCAGTTCCTTGTTTAAATCCAGTGAATGGTTTGAGCGTAGATATGTAATCCTCCATTTGGAAATGAGTCCAATGAGTTTTAAAAAGTAAAACAAAACGCGTGTGTCCTCCGTAAACTCCTCTGTTTTGCTGCAGCCGGCTGCATCCAATTTCTAAAATCAACCGTCTTACACTTCACCTCTCTTTCTTATCATTCCTATAGTAATTGAAAAATTACCCTATGTGCATTTTAGATTATGTAAAAATGTGTTATATGTATGTTAGCCAAACCTGTTGCTGTCCTTAGCAGATAAACCAGGAGGAGCAAGGAGCTTATCGATGGAATTGTATGCAGCCGACTTCTGCGCTCACATGCGCTCCTCTGAGGCTGGCCTCACGGTGATACAAGCCGTGGTTGAGTGTGATTAAGACCCATATTTGTTTCAAAAACACAATTTATGAGCCATCCTCTCAACTGTAGACATGTAGATTGTAAAGGAAATATGATTTACATCAGCCAATAATTGCTGAGAGGTTTTCTCATCCTCCCTTCTCTCATGACAACACGTTCATTGTGCGTCTTGAGTAACGCGCAGTAACGGGATGTCGGAAATGATAACGGCGTTATAGTTACTGTCAAAGTAATTAGTTAGAATACTCGTTACTGAAAAAAGTAACGGCGTTAGTAACGCCGTTACTAGTAACGCCGTTATTCCCATCACTGATTACTAGCTTGTAGCTGAATAACCCACGTGCTCGGGGGATTCTCGCGGTACTGCAGACTAAACCAGACTAAATTCACGTGGGCTACCCAGAAATTTTCCCCATAGAACTCAATGCATATTAAAACAGCGCAACCTCAGTTGACAGAGAACCTGACAGAGAACCTACAGCTTTAATAAAGGTTGCATTTTGTGGGGATTTTAGTGTCCCTTGTCATCCTGAACTTTTTTTCTTCTTTAAATCCATACCAATTTTTTTCATAGACAATCTAAATTTTTTGGACAAAAAATGTAATAACAGATTTATAAGACAAGTACTCACTAGTGAGCTTTATTCGAAACAATACAGCCGTTTTCAAGATCTTAAAGAATACGAGCCATCTAAAGTTAAGAAATAACTAACAGTCCAAAGAAATTCATTTCAAACTTCTTAACAACATATATCCGTCAAGTGAATTTTTACGACAAAGATTTAACTTTGACAGTAATGAATGTACCTTTTGTAAAACTGTAGAAACCACTCGTCACATTTTTTTTGACTGCAAATTTGTTACAGTTTTTTGGAAGCAGATTGAAGAGTGTTTGGGAAAAAAGAATATCGGTTAAATTAACGTCGTACGTTGATATTTTATATGGAATGGTTTTGGAAAGCAAATTAGAAAACCTGCTGGTCAACGCAATCCTCATATTAGTAAAACACTATATTCATGAATCCACAGTTTTCAAATCTTAATTAATGACTTTAATCTATATTGCAAATCCTTAAAAGTTATTAAATTAAACAAAGCAATAGAGCTTCTGAATCAAATAAAACAATACAAATTAACTGACCCTTAAATCTGAGTTAAAGTGTATCATTTTTGTAATTTATTTTACTACTATTGTAGTCAATTTGATGTACAATCATAAAATATATATATATGTATATATATTTTATTTTATTTATCTATTTTAGTTGTTACTTTGTGTTTTTTTTCTTTTTTTTCTTTTCAACTTGCCTAGATATTACGCTGTTTTATGGATTATTTTTCTACTCAACCGAATTTGCCTTGAAAAGATTTTAATGGTTTTGTGCCTTGTTGTTTTTAAATGTTCAATAAAAAAAAAAAAAAAAAAAAAATAAAGCCGCAAGCGGCGTTGAACAGCCCTTGCCGCACAACGCAACTGACGCGCCATTTTCCTACTGCCCTGACGGGAGCGACACTGTGCATTTTGAATTCCTATGATCAGTGATTGTGTGTCTCTATTGAAAAGGTAAACCTCATTCTCCCCATGTAATACTTGAATCAGTCTGTAGGGGGCGCTGATGCAGCATTTTCATGATTTACACTTTCAGTTTACTCAAACCCAAGAGTTGGACTATCAAATCAAATGTTGTGCAAATTGGACTTTGTATGTGAACATTTTGTTATTTAATGTTGTACAATAGCGTCCCCTACAATTTCAATTTTTTAGTGTTACAGCAAAGATCACCAAAATAATACACTTTATGCCTGAAAAAAAGTTGTAGCAGAGTCTGGTGAGTTTGTGTGTTTGTTCAGTGGGTCAAATATGAGATCAAACAACAGAAAACCTAAATACCTTTATCCCCATGTAAATCTTTATTCAGCCTGTAGGGGGCACTAAAGGGCCAATGTCGTTGTTCACACAGTCATGTGACCTATGCCCAGGAGTTGAACAACCGAGTCAAGTTTAGTGCAAATCAGAGTTTGTAAATGTGCTCCTGTTTGCACACACAATCTGTGAGTGTGTCCATACAGTCTCCATTGGATAACATGGGAACTTCACACCTCTCTATGAAAATAACCACACTTTGGGAGTTTGTCACTCTCAGACCGTTTGACTAATTAAAATTCTATATTCAACAATTGATGGTCCATGTGTTGAGACGATGTGGAGCGATTTTCTAACCTTGCCTGCAAGCTGAATTCTTGCGGTATTTGTGAGTTCACAAACACTCGAGAATACATCTTGTCCCGCTCCCGCCAACCCTTTTCGAGTAGAACATCTAGGTGTTCAAGCCAATCACGCGCCAGTCTGGGGGTTTAGGGCGGGATATCCGGATTTGACGAAAGCAAGAAGTGCCGGGCCGAAGCAAAACAAACATGGCTACGCAGGAGGACGGACGCGTAGCTGAGGCTATCAAGTCAGTTTTAGCAGAATCTCCAATTTCTTTTTTGAAAGATGAACAACGAAAGGCACTTTGTGCATTTCTGGACAGGTACACAGCGTCACTTCGCCCAATCAGCTTGAAGTATTCTGCTGCTTATCCCTCCTTTCCCCAAAAAGGATTCTCCTGCAGAAGTCCCAGATTGATATTGTGGAGAACGCATTAGAGTTCTACACAATCATCAATCTGGCTCTTGCCAGGTTAGCGATTTTCAGCCAAATTAGTGAAATGGCCGCGGCTGGTTTGATGTTTGAGCGAGATGTACTTTTCAGAGATATAATGATTTTCCCATAGACACAGACAGGGGAGTGTTGGTCGTCGCCACGGCAACAGGGTAAAAAATAATCATATGTTGTCATTGACTTTTTGAATCCAGATGACAAAACAGAATTATGTTCCAAATTTCAAACATTTTGAAAAAACTAAATTTTATTAGGCCCATGTAAAACATCGGTCTCTGGACATGCACTTTCTCTGTTCTTTGGTGTTGGCAGTAATCATTCGTTTTTACAAAGTTATATTTTATGTAAACAACACACATATATTCAATAAATGATTATCATATATTAATGATATATTTGCTATGGCCCTCGTTTGTGCATCACTTAAAAGTAATTTTATCAGACCTAAATGTAATAACATGTGTTTGCTGATGAGAGGAACTTCCATTTATCTATAATAATAACTGGAACTTCCATTTATCTATAATAATAACTGGAACATCCATTTATCTATAATAATAACTGGAACATCCATTTATCTATAATAATAACTGGAACATCCATTTATCTATAATAATAACTGGAACATCCATTTATCTATAATAATAACTGGAACATCCATTTATCTATAATAATAACTGGAACATCCATTTATCTATAATCATAACTGGAACATCCATTTATCTATAATAATAACTGGAACATCTGTTATAGAAATCTTACTGGGATTATAAATCAATTTAACTTAAGAATAAATCTAATGATGAAATGGGATATCTGGGACTAAGTTCAAAGCCAGTAAGTCTATTGAAACTAACTAAGCTGTTTTTCTCTAGAGACGCGAGGCCAATGACGGGGTTGAGGCAGATACGAGATTGATAGCAGGGACGACAAGAGCAGGCTCACCGGTCATAGTGACAATTCTTCCTAATATCAGAGTAATATCAGAGTCTATCAGAGTAAGACGTCAGAAGAGAGGGGGGTTTGGGCAATAGCTGCCACTTAATCTCGGACTCAGAGGCGCCATAGATAGACTCTTTTGTTTATTCCATCCTATAAATGTGAGAGAGAATGAGCACTGTTCAGCAGATCTACCCGGGACCTGCCACGCGGTTACACGGTTGTATTTCCTGTATATGTATACATTTACTGAGATAATAAACCACACTTTGATTTGAACTACAGCTCTTGTTGTTTATTTTATATTTAATATTGTGTATTTCACTCCTTAGTAATTCCACAACAATTGGCGTCAACAAACAGTCCCGTCGTCTGGAAGGGGTCCGCTGCGTTTGGATCCAGGAAGGGTGGCTTCCCCGACCTTGAATCAGTCTTCCCCCTCGCAACGTTCGAGATAAAGGAGGATTTCTGGCTCCACACCTGGCGGATCCGTCCAGCGCATGGTGACCAAACGAACCAACTTAAACAACAAGTGTGGTAAGAGCTGTATTCTTTCAAACTGTCAAAAGAACCCCGTATTTTATCTCTCCGCGCAAAACTAAAAGCCCCATTTTTCACCCAGTGAGAGGCCTTGGCTGTCCTGTTCTTAGAGTCAGTGGTTTTTCTGTGTACAGATGTTTTAACTGGCTTGACTTTAACTAGTGAGTTTTAAGAGTTAAATGGTTCCTGTTTTCCTGTGTACAGATGTTTTAACTGGCTTGACTTTAACTAGTGAGTTTTAAGAGTTAATCGTGTATTAACTGGCTTGACTTTAACTAGTGAGTTTTAAGAGTTAAATGGTTCCTGTTTTCCTGTGTACAGATGTTTTAACTGGCTTGACTTTAACTAGTGAGTTTTAAGAGTTAATCGTGTATTAACCCTTTAGGCGCCAGAGTTTTTTCAAGAAAATATACAATTTTGATTTCAAGATTTCAAAAGGCTATAACTTTAAAATGGTTTGAGATAAAGGCATACTGTAAATTAGAAATATCTTCAGTTTGAACCAAACTTTGGGATGGAAGTTGATTCGTCATCTAATTTGCATATTGTGACGTCATCAAGGTGGCGGCCATTTTGGAAAATGTTAATTATTGTATAAAGACTTCAAAAAGCTGTAGCTTGGGAGTTATTTGAGATCAGGGAATACTATAAACAGTCAATGTGAAATATCTTTAGTATAAAATGAATTTGGGATAGAAATAAATTCCCTGATCCAGATTATAGATAATGTTTTAGCACTGGTTCGCGGCCATATGGAATTGTATTATTTTCAAAGACCTTCAATGATCAAGACAGCACTCTTTATAGTTTACAGTCATGAAATCTTGAGATTGGTTTCAATATTTCCCTTTCAAAGAATTGGTGAGCTTACTATTTTTATCAGTGGAAATGTGGCTCAAGGATTTACCGTTTACAAACAGAGAGATGAAATGAATGGGCTCAGAACTTGTCAGATCGTCTCAACAACATACAACAGGCTCTTCAACACTTCTGATCCACTTTTGTGGATTATTTTCTCTCAAGAACTGCCTTCATCCTCATCATCGCTGTTGGTAAAGGCAGTGAACGCGATTAGCGATGTGTTTATTTTTTCCCGCGTTTCCCGTGTTCCCCGTGGATGTCTACCCCCGCTACTTTCTCCCGGAAAATATGGGCCAACGGCCCTTGAATGTTTAAATGTGTGGTCCGAGAAATACGGCTTCCCTGAAGGAGGATCGTTCAGTTTGAACCAATTATATAAACTCAAAGAAAACTTAGAAAAAGAGAAACTTAATATACCCAAGAAAGAGAAAATGTCATCTGATATTATTCATGAGATCATTAAACATGATAAATGTTTGAATGTGTGGATAAATGAAGCAGAAAGAAGGGAACGAAAGAAAACAAATAGACAGAGTAGACAATTTGGGGACAACACCATGCCTACAACACAAACACATAATGAGCCCAGAACCAGTACAGGAGGGGGCTCGACTCAGACTGGCTTGAAAGTGACTGAGTGCGTGAAAAAGGAGACACGTTGTATGCATGAGATGCGTGTGACTGAGGAGGACGATATGAATGGGGAAACAAACCACAGAGGAGTACGGATGAAATGTGAAGGACGAGTGCGGGATGATTTACAGAATGAATGTAACATAGACACAAGCACGGGTAAAAAACCCCCAATCAACCCCCCTGAATATGCAGCCAACCAACCCTACACACACACGCAGGCACCGACACTCACACAAGATGGGACACACGAATTAACTGTCAAAGAACTTGTCACTGCCGTATCTTCTCTATACCCCAGTTTAGGCGGCCTGGAGCCGGGGGACGCTCGCAGACCCATCAGACACATGGACCCCGACCTGGACTCATACCCCGGCTGGTTGGACGCCGAGCCCCAGGACCCGGCATCTGGGGGGTCAGCATCTGGCCCCCCCACCGCACCAGCGGCCCCAAAGAAAACTAAAGCTCAACACCCCCACCCGCAACTGGTCCAGAGAACCACCCGAGCCACCGCCCCCATAGAAGGTCCCAGCCATGCCCTCATTACCCACCCAGCTCAGCCACACATGATCCCAACGATCCCAACGACGGCCCCAATCCCACCCACCCCGGCCAGCTGGACAATGCCCTCCGTCGCTGTGGCAGGGGCAAATGGGGAGACATACATCTACAGGCCCTGGCAGCCAGAAGAACTAAAAGACATAGCCCGACACCTGCCCGATCCAGTGCAGGACGGGCCACATTTCGGGGTTGAATTCGAATTGTTTTGTCGTCAATACAGGCCCTCGGCGTACGAATGGCGCAGGCTCCTGGCCCACAGAATGAAGCCCTCAGACATGGCCAAGATAGAGCCGGTGCTGGCAACATGCCAGGCCAGCGCCACCAGGGTAATGTACGAGGACAATATTGATTATTTGAGGGAACTGAAGGCATTAACCAAGGCACTTGCAGATTCTTTCCCGCCCCACAGAGACATGCGAAAAGTGGACGGCTGCAGACAGGGGACAGAGGAAACCTTGGACTGCTATCTGGAGCGACTTCAGGCCCTGTTCGAGAGACACAGCGCTTTGGCCAAGGGCTCCACGGAATACAAGGTACACCTCTGCCACGCAATCATGAGGGGAATCCGAGATGACGTGGCGGAAGGGGTCCGCACCTGCTACGTGCGGGGTCAACGTAACCCTATGAGCACTATCCTCTCCTCCTTCCTACTTTATCTGTTTAGCATTTTTAGGATTCTGACTGTAGTTTGTTCATTGCTATTCACCCGTTGTCCCATTGTCTGTTTCATGGTACGATGACGGGATCTCTGAGCCTGGCCTCTTCCATCTACACCTGCGGACTGCCCCGCCCGACCCGCCTGGGAGTGCTTCGGTCCTGCACCGGACCTGTCCACGTTCAGCGTCCACTGGTCCACGTTCTGTAGCTAGCTTAGGTCCTAGATCATTAGTCTGTCCGTCCGGAGGAGCGGATCCCTTTCTCATATGGGTCTCCCTCCCTGTGGGTTTCCCTAGTTCTCCTCCAAGGTTTCTCACTTTTTCCCACTGGGTTTTTTAAGAGTTTTTCCTTGTCGATGCAGGAGGGTCTTGTTGGACAGTTAGTGTCCAACAGAAAGGATTGGTGATGATCAGGACACTTTAGCATTCTACAACATGTATGGACATTTTCTTCTGTGTGTGCTTTATATTCTTCATGTGTTTTAACTGTTGATTCTCTGACCTGTGTTGGTGATTTCAATGGTTTTGTTAAGTCCTCTGAGATGACTTCTGTTGTGACCTAGGGCTATACAAGAATAAATTGTATTGTATTGTGTGTATTGTATTGTAACCCTGAGCTGAAAGAGGTACTGCGTTATGCCTATCACGTTTATGAGGCAATAGAAGACAAAAAGAAGCAGAAACACCTCTAAGGTGGCCCGCTAAACTCTTTTCTCTGACCAAACACAGCCCCAGTTTGCAGTTTTCCCCAGACTGGGGAGGGGTGAGAGAGGAAGAGTAAGGTGCTCTGAGGTGCAAGTCCCTCATCTAATTTATGAGCCACCCTCCAAACAAACCTGGTCTTAACCAAGTGAAATGGCGCCAGTGTGACCTGGATGGACACAGAGGCTCTGTGTAGTAATTTTTTCTACTACATTATGATTACCCATTGGTCTTGGAAATGTGCCATAGAAATAACTCATGCTTAAAATACTAAATTAGAATTTTAGATAATGCTCATAGAATTACGATAATCCCATCCACATACATACAATTAACCTCACAGTTCTACTTCACACAGCATCCATCCATCCATCCACCTTCTTCAGCGCCATCACAATACCCAGCAAGCACCCATCCCACCCTCTCCTCCTCCCTATGTTTATCCCAACTTATGCAAACACACATATACACACACACGCACACACATACACATACACACACACATACATGGACACACACACACACACACACACACACACCGGGCGGCACGGTGGCCCTGAGATTAGCGCTTGTGTTTCACAGCAAAGTCCTGGGTTCGATTCCACCTCCAGGTCTTTCTTAGAGGAGTTTGTATGTTCTCCCTGTGTCTGCGTAGGTTTTCTCCAGGTGCTTCGGTTTTCCCTACCACTAAAAACATGTACAATGTGTAAATGTAATGATTTGTATGGATGGATCAGTGAGTGTAGCGTCTCGCTTCATCCCCGTGTGGACAGAGAATGGAACAATGTCTGAATTCTCAACAATTATAAAGTGGTTTGTGTGAACTTGGTCTGTAAATGCGCTATATAAATAAACATTACTTACCATTTACTTACTTTCCTTTTTCCTTGAAGCTTTAGGAGTTTGCCGCTTGTGAAAGTGAAAAACTATGTTTTAATTTAATTCAACAACATTGTCTGCACAGTAACTGGTGTAGTGACCTGTCCCTTCCTCTGTGGCCCCCAGACCTCACTCACCCAGCAGCCTCAGAGAGCACCACTGCAGGGGGCTCAGCCACAGGGAGCCCGGGGGCCTCAGGGGTCCCAGCACAGGAGGAGGGGCAGGAGGACCTCAGCAGTTCTCAGTTTGTCTGTGAGACGGTCATTCGCTCCATGGCCTTGGAGGAGGCCCCCGAGCCCCGGCCAGTCCCACATCCCAGGGCTGAAGGTCCAGGGGCCACAGGGGCCACAGGGGCCACAGTCAGTGGTGAGTGTGCTCATCATAACTCAAAGAAAAGAACGGACAGAGAGTCTGACATGTCCCATACAGAGAAGGCAAGTGTATTTGTACATCACAGTTGTTTAGTTGTGATTGGACGCTTTGCTCTCGTTAAACTAATATTTACAAAAGTGGATTAGAGTTCCACTCGTCTCCATGGTAACAGTGGCTCACACACTTATGCTTTGTGTCCCTCAGCTCAGGGGCCCTCCTCCTCGGCTCTGAAAGGCCTGAAGAGTCCCGGGACCAGCCCGTCTAAACCTCCGGCCCCACTGCAGGTTCTGTGTGTGCCCTCCACAGCTGCTAAGGGCCCCTACTGTGCTCAGGCGCCCCGCTCTGTCCCCACACACCTCCAGGCCTCGGCCACAGCTGCAGGTGACACAGCTACACACATCTACACACAGCTGCACACAGCTGCACACAGCTACACACAGCTACACACAGCTGCACACAGCTACACACAGCTGCACACAGCTACACACAGCTACACACAGCTACACACAGCTGCACACAGCTACACACAGCTACACACAGCTACACACAGCTACACACAGCTGCACACAGCTGCACACAGCTACACACAGCTACACACAGCTGCACACAGCTACACACAGCTACACACAGCTACACACAGCTGCACACAGCTACACACAGCTGCACACAGCTACACACAGCATCCACATCCACAACACATCACTCTCCTCTAGGCCACATCTGATTCTAAGGATGTATTCAGACTTGCACATTTGCTCCACTTTAAACGGACCAGGATTTGTTTGGAACTCTGATCCGAAGCTTTTATGCAGGTCTGAATACACACAAACGAATCCTGAAAGAACCGAACCGAGACCCACTTTTTTAGGTGGTCTCGGTTTGCTTCCAAACGAATTCTGGTCCAAGTCAAATCAGGTCTGAATATATCCGGTGTCGATCCGACACAACTCCAAGATACGTGCACATTTTTTGGGCTTAAGCCGCAGACAGAAACTGTGAGGAATTAGCCATGCAGCGGCTAACTATGATGCTAACTATGCTGCTAACTATGATGCTAACTATGCTGCTAACTATGCTGCTAACGCTACACAACAACACTGAGCCGTGGGCAGACCTGGAGCAGTGAGGAGACGCTGTGCAACAGGCTTATGGAGTTACAACTGATCACATTGATATTAATGGCAGCATCTTCAAACCATTTGCATTATTAAAAGCCTGACGTGTTTGACTCACGTCTCAAAGAGCAATATTCCGCATCATGTAGTGAATTGTGTTCTTTGGTTCCTACCTGATCCTCAGCGTCTGTTTGTCCCGTGGTTATTATAGATCCATGGTTTATCCACGATGCTGAACAGGGCCGTTATTATAATAGATCCATGTGTGGGACAGGGCACGGAGCGCACAGTCTCCTTCGGCTTTCTCCTCACGCATTCTCCGACTCTGTTCCAATATTTAAAACAACGTGTTTGGCCTGTGTCATATGAGCTGCTGTTGATGTTGAAGGTGGTTTTTCTCTAAAAAGAGCAAACACAGCAGAGCAGACATGCTGCACATACGAGCCCTCAATGTTTTCCTCCGGTTCCGCGTCTATCCTCTGTGAGCTCTCACTGTCCAATAGGAGCCGATCGTCACACGTGTCAATATGTTTATATAAAAAAGTTCACTTGCAAAAAAGGACAGTCTGAATACAAACCGGAGCAAAAGAAAAAAGTTTGGTCCGCTTTTGATTCGGATCAAACAAGCGGAGCAAAGGACTTTTCAGGTCTGAATACACCCTAAAACTATTCTACTGAGACCAGAGAGAGACCAGAGAGAGACCAGAGAGAGACCAGAGAGAGACCAGAGAGAGACCAGAGAGAGAGACCACAGAGAGACCAGCGAGAGACCAGAGAGAGACCAGAGAGAGACCAGAGAGAGAGACCAGAGAGAGAGGGAGAGACCAGAGAGAGACCAGAGAGAGACCAGAGCGAGACCAGAGCGAGACCAGAGCGAGACCAGAGAGAGACCAGAGAGAGACCAGAGAGAGACCAGAGAGAGACCAGAGAGAGACCAGAGAGAGAGACCACAGAGAGACCAGCGAGAGACCAGAGAGAGACCAGAGAGAGACCAGAGAGAGAGACCAGAGAGAGAGGGAGAGACCAGAGAGAGACCAGAGAGAGACCAGAGCGAGACCAGAGCGAGACCAGAGCGAGACCAGAGAGAGACCAGAGAGAGACCAGAGAGAGACCAGAGAGAAAGACCAGAGAGAAAGACCAGAGAGAGACCAGAGAGAGAGACCAGAGAGAGAGACCAGAGAGAGACCAGAGAGAGACCAGAGAGACCAGAGAGAGACCAGAGAGAGACCAGAGAGAGACCAGAGAGAGACCAGAGAGACCAGAGAGAGACCAGAGCGAGACCAGAGCGAGACCAGAGCGAGACCAGAGCGAGACCAGAGCGAGACCAGAGAGAGACCAGAGAGAGACCAGAGAGAGACCAGAGAGAGACCAGAGAGAAAGACCAGAGAGAAAGACCAGAGAGAGACCAGAGAGAGAGACCAGAGAAAGAGACCAGAGAGAGAGACCAGAGAGAGAGACCAGAGAGAGAGACCAGAGAGAGAGACCAGAGAGAAAGACCAGAGAGAAAGACCAGAGAGAAAGACCAGAGAGAAAGACCAGAGAGAAAGACCAGAGAGAGACCAGAGAGAGAGACCAGAGAGAGACCAGAGAGAGACCAGAGAGAGAGACCAGAGAGAGAGACCAGAGAGAGACCAGAGAGAGACCAGAGAGAGACCAGAGAGAGACCAGAGAGAGACCAGAGCGAGACCAGAGCGAGACCAGAGTGAGACCAGAGCGAGACCAGAGCGAGACCAGAGCGAGACCAGAGAGAGACCAGAGAGAGACCAGAGCGAGACCAGAGAGAGACCAGAGAGAGACCAGAGAGAGACTAGAGAGAAAGACCAGAGAGAAAGACCAGAGAGAAAGACCAGAGAGAGACCAGAGAGAGACCAGAGAGAGAGACCAGAGAAAGACCAGAGAGAGACCAGAGAGAGACCAGAGAGAGAGACCAGAGAGAGAGACCAGAGAGAAAGACCAGAGAGAAAGACCAGAGAGAAAGACCAGAGAGAGACCAGAGAGAGAGACCAGAGAGAGACCAGAGAGAGACCAGAGAGAGAGACCAGAGAGAGAGACCAGAGAGAGACCAGAGAGAGACCAGAGAGAGACCAGAGAGAGACCAGAGAGAGACCAGAGCGAGACCAGAGTGAGACCAGAGCGAGACCAGAGCGAGACCAGAGCGAGACCAGAGAGAGACCAGAGAGAGACCAGAGCGAGACCAGAGAGAGACCAGAGAGAGACCAGAGAGAGACCAGAGAGAGACTAGAGAGAAAGACCAGAGAGAAAGACCAGAGAGAAAGACCAGAGAGAGACCAGAGAGAGACCAGAGAGAGAGACCAGAGAAAGACCAGAGAGAGACCAGAGAGAGACCAGAGAGAGAGACCAGAGAGAGAGACCAGAGAGAAAGACCAGAGAGAAAGACCAGAGAGAAAGACCAGAGAGAAAGACCAGAGAGAAAGACCAGAGAGAGACCAGAGAGAGAGACCAGAGAAAGACCAGAGAGAGACCAAAGAGAGAGAGACCAGAGAGAGAGACCAGAGAGAGACCAGAGCGAGACCAGAGCGAGACCAGAGCGAGACCAGAGCGAGACCAGAGCGAGACCAGAGCGAGACCAGAGAGAGACCAGAGAGAGACCAGAGAGAGACCAGAGAGAGACCAGAGAGAGACCAGAGAGAGACCAGAGAGAGACTAGAGAGAAAGACCAGAGAGAAAGACCAGAGAGAGACCAGAGAGAGAGACCAGAGAGAGAGACCAGAGAAAGACCAGAGAGAGACCAGAGAGAGACCAGAGAGAGAGACCAGAGAGAAAGACCAGAGAGAAAGACCAGAGAGAAAGACCAGAGAGAAAGACCAGAGAGAAAGACCAGAGAGAGACCAGAGAGAGAGACCAGAGAAAGACCAGAGAGAGACCAGAGAGAGAGACCAGAGAGAGAGACCAGAGAGAGACCAGAGCGAGACCAGAGCGAGACCAGAGCGAGACCAGAGCGAGACCAGAGAGAGACCAGAGAGAGACCGGAGAGACCAGAGAGAGACCAGAGCGAGACCAGAGCGAGACCAGAGCGAGACCAGAGAGAGACCAGAGAGAGACCAGAGAGAGACCAGAGAGAAAGACCAGAGAGAAAGACCAGAGAGAGAAAGACCAGAGAGAGACCAGAGAGAGAGACCAGAGAGAGAGACCAGAGAGAGAGACCAGAGAGAGAGAGACCAGAGAGAGAGACCAGAGAGGGAGACCAGAGAGAGAGACCAGAGAGAGAGACCAGAGAGAGACCAGAGAGAGAGACCAGAGAGAGAGACCAGAGAGAGAGACCAGAGCGAGACCAGAGAGAGACCAGAGCGAGACCAGAGCGAGACCAGAGAGAGACCAGAGCGAGAGGCCATGAGAACGCAGTGGTGCACACAAGCCACAAAAGTTTTCTTCTGACTTTAAATTAAAGTAATTGTCATGTTTTACTTGTGTTTCTATAATGTTGTATGTTGTGTTTACATTAGCTGTAAAAACTCGCAAACTCCCAAAATGCGCAAACTAAACCAAACAGACTCCATCAACGCAGGAGTGAGAGACCCTCCACAGCAGCAGATGTTCATGTGTCCTGTGTGGTCCCCAGATGAGGGGGGCCAGTACAGCATGAAGAGCCTGTGTGTGGCTCCTGCCCAGGGGCCCCAGCGCGGGGACAGGCCTCGAAGCCGCTCCTCCTCCACCTCCTCAGAGGACTACATCATCATCCTGCCCGACTGCTTCGACACCAGCCGGCCCCTGGGGGACTCCATGTACAGGTGCGTATGTGCGGGGCCCTCACACTCACTGGATACTGCTGAGACGAGAGGGAGCCGATGCATTCAAGAGCACAGGAGACTGATTAGAATGTTCGTGTTTATAGCCCCGTTTCCACCAGCTCTACTTGGCCCTGCTCTACTCAGCCATATGAAGATTGACCAATCAGATGCCTTCAATTGCGGAGGAAATTCTAGCTTGTCTTAGCAACACTGACCATGTTACAGCACAAAGCTAATAAGGAAATTGGCTCCAGCTAGCTTATGTTTGAATGTGCATTAAGGCTAACAGTATGTGATGTCACACTCGGTCAGTCCACTTCTATGATCTAAGAAGCTTAAAGAACCTACAGAGCCGCCATCATAACTCTGCTCTGACCATCGGGTTCTGTTTATCCTTGTTCTTTGGTTTTTTAAATGTATTTATTTGCTTAGTTACCGAAAACAAATGCACATCAAACAACAACAATCTTTGTTATCAGCGTAATATCACACATTTATAAGTAATTCACAGATTGTTGTCAAGAATTCTCCGTCATTCCCATTTCACCTCCAAAAATGTGTTGGCGCTGGCCCTGGCCCATTTAAAATACATGAGTTCATACAGTTCATTTAGAGTTTGGGAAAAAATAAAAAAACTAGAGAGAGACCAGGGAGAGACCAGAGCGAGACTAGCGAGACCAAAGAGAAAGACCAGAGAGAGACCCCTGAGATAGACTAGGTAGAGACCAGATAGAAAGACAGAGAAAGACCAGAGAGAGACCCCTGAGATAGACTAGGTAGAGACCAGATAGAAAGACAGAGAAAGACCAGAGCGAGACCAGAGAGAAGAACCAGAGAGAGACCAGAGAGAAAACCAAGAGAGAGACCGGAGAGAGACCAGAGAGACCCCAGAGAGAATATATATTATTACAGTATTTGAAGAGAAAAAGAAAAAAAAATCTTCATGTGTCTTGTTTTGTTTGTCCCTCAGCTCTGCTCTGTCTCAGCCTGGGGACATTCCTGCGATCACAGCCCCAGAGCCAGACCCGTCCCCAGACCCAGACCTGTCCTCTGACCATCCCCCCAGCTCCGCCTCCGAGCCCTCCCCCTCCTCCACCGCCACAGAGAGCAGCGCCCACGACATGCTGTGCACCTCGCAGACCCTGGAGCAGGAGCCTCTGACTCCGGAGGTGGTGGCGCCCCCTCTGGCTCACAGGTCAGCCGCACCACACACACACGCTCGTCCACTTTATTCATAGAGCACATTTTATAAAACAAGTAAACCTGTACTCGTCCCCTCAGTGGGAAATGTCAATGTCATTATAGATAGATAAAGCAGGGTCTGGGTCTGCTTCACATGTTGTGATTCTGTTGTGATTCTGTTCTGATTCTGTTGTGATTCTGTTGTGATTCTGTTGTGATTCTGCTGTGATTCTGTTGTGATTCTGTTGTGATTCTGCTGTGATTGTGTTGTGATTCTGCTGTGATTCTGTTGTGATTCTGCTGTGATTCTGTTGTGATTCTGTTGTGATTCTGCTGTGATTCTGTTCTGATTCTGTTGTGATTCTGCTGTGATTCTGTTGTGATTCTGCTGTGATTCTGTTGTGATTCTGTTGTGATTCTGCTGTGATTCTGTTCTGATTCTGTTGTGATTCTGCTGTGATTCTGTTGTGATTCTGTTGTGATTCTGCTGTGATTCTGTTGTGATTCTACTGTGATTCTGCTGTGACTCTGTTGTGATTCTGTTGTGATTCTGCTGTGATTCTGTTGTGATTCTGCTGTGACTCTGTTGTGATTCTGTTGTGATTCTGCTGTGATTCTGTTGTGATTCTGCTGTGACTCTGTTGTGTGATTCTGCTGTGATTCTGTTGTGATTGTGTTGTGATTGTGTTGTGATTCTGCTGTGACTCTGTTGTGATTCTGCTGTGACTCTGTTGTGATTCTGCTGTGACTCTGTTGTGATTCTGTTGTGATTCTGTTGTGATTCTGTTGTGATTCTGTTGTGATTCTGCTGTGATTCTGTTGTGATTCTGTTGTGACGTTTAGGCCTGAGAGTCCCGGAGCCGGTGATCCTCCAGCTGCAGAGGGCAGCCCCGCACCAGAGACGCCCCACGGTCAGTACTATTTACCGTTTGCAGTAAAACCAGATTGAAACACAGGAGCAAAGATCCCCCAGAATGCACCAGACAAGCACATACATGAAACAGGCCACGCACTGTTTTAACTCACCACATTTTGACTCGTTCCTGTCTTCCTCGTGCTGAAACACGGACATGGGTCTAAACAACACGCCAACCTTTCCTTCTGTTGTTTAACACAGTCATAGACCAGAGTCACAAAGCACTTTACTATTATGGGCATTTGTCTCTCACTCCACACAGAGATGGGAGCGGGGCCAGTACAGGAGGCACATGCCAGAACTATTGTACATGCTTTTAGTGGTAGGGGAAACCGGAGCACCCGGAGGAAACCTACACAGACACGGGGAGAACATAGAAACGTCACTCAGAAAGACCATGTTCGGACCACATCAATATCAATATCAGAATAATTATTATTGCCATGTAAGTAACAGGAAGCACAGACTAGAAAATGGATTTCAAAAGTACAAAAGAATAAGGCAAAATAA